GAAAGATGTTTTGAATATGTCTGCAATTCAGAACCCACTTATGTAGTTCATTGACTAGAATTAGAATTTTCTAAAGGAACTAAGCTATAAGTTTGGATCTACTTAGTTTTGCACACACACTTGATACTTAAGTTTGTTTTGGAAGGTTGGATGTAATAGAACCACTTTTGTGAGATAGATTAGCCATATAAATTTGATAAATAAATAATAGGTCTTTTTAAAAAAACTATTTCAGAAGAACTGTGTGGAAAATGGGTATCTTCACTATATAAAGAAACATAGCTACACAGGAAGTTGCATAGAGATGATCGGTGTGCATCCAAACTGATCAATTATGATAATTTGGGTTGACTATAATGTTCTTGCTCTTTCTTATCCCCCTCTCCAAATTCAGCAACTAAAATCTTTTTAAGATCTTACCCTGGTAAAACTTTCAGAAAGCGTTGTTCATCTACAATCTGATGTGTATTATACTGCCCTAGGTATATATTCTTTTATAGCTTTCTTAATACATGGCTCTGCTGTTCATGACATAAGATACACAATTATTTGCATGATTCTTATTTTTCTTTTTAAAAAATATGTGTGTTGCGGAGAGCGGGAGAATTATTCAGGCAATTAAAAAAAATTAAGTATCCTAATATCTGTTTAAGAGATGCCATTTAAATTAATGAATATTATATATTTCCTTTATGTTCCACATTTACTTTCTTCGATATGTATTTTAGAGAGTCCTATTCTTTTGACTTACAATGGCACGTATAATAACATTCATTATTTAAATACCTACTGATTTCTCTAGTGTAAGAAGATTGGAACAGAAACATATAAATTACATGTATCTTTTTTAAAAAACTAAACTTAAACACTACTATAGGAAATAATTACTTTGAGCCTTCTCCCCATCCTCTTGTGTCTTTTTCTAATTTTCAGCAAAGTTTCCTCTAAGCTTTATTTTTAATAATCAAATTCTTTCTGATGGTTTAGAGTTCCTGCTTTGGGGCGGTGTGTGTGTGTGTGTGTGCGCGTGTGTGTGTGCGTGCGTGTGTGTGTGTGTGAGAGAGAGAGAGAGAGAGAGGAGAGAGAGAGGGAGGGGGAGAGAGAGGGAGAGAGAGAGAGAGAGTTTCCTTTACAAGGAAGCTCGAACAATGTGCTTTGAAGCTACCCTGCTTTGCTTGCCCACTTCAGTCGGTGCATCACTGTCATGTTGCTTCTAAGCAAACTGGCAAAAAAAAAAGGAAGATAGTTAAACATCTCGCCGTTTATGAACAGGGAGAGGGCAAGCAGGCACCATTGCACCTTGACCACCTATTATGAAGCTCTTTGCTGCAATGTCAAGTGAAAGCAAGTTAATTGGGTGAAGCTGTAGAGCATGTTAGGGGCATAGTAAGGGGATGCTATCTGACAGCTGAGTGTCAGCAGGAGCTATTCAACTGTGGCTGAGAGACAGAGACCTGTCACAAAGTTCACGCATGCTGCAGCCCAGTTAGGGAGTTGAAATGTGGTTCGGTCTCACTTTCTCCCTCATTGCATTCCAGCACCTTAAGATTTCACACTGGAGTGTCAACCCTTGTTCTCTAAGCTGTTTTTTCCTAACTCTTCTGAATTCAAATGATTGGACAAAAAGATGCTAATGTTTGGCAAAGTGAATGTAAATATCATCTTTCATTCTCGCTCCACGCTCCCCCTTCCCTTCTTCCTTCCAAAGCGAGAATCTACATCGGGCTCCAAGGCTCTGACAAAAATTAGACCGCCAGAAGGGCACTAGACAGACACACATGTCCGTAAAGGGTTCTGGAGCCTGGTGATTAAAGATCCCGATTACGATCTGGGCAGCAAAACTTTTGCCTCTTCAGATCTTTCACAAATGAATCCCTCACCTGAGCTTCCACAAGTATTATTACTCTGTGAAACAACAAAATGCCTAGATCTTGAACAGATGCTTAACGAGAATGATATACTGCCACAGTACCCAACCTGAACAGAAGCAAAACAAAGGAATATTCAAGATAAGGTACCAGCATTCTTAATCTGGTTCTTCCGGATGTCTTGAGACCCAACTCCTAAAATTGCCTTTGGATACAATGGCTGGAAATGTAGGCAGCAAATGCAAAGAAGCTTTTTAAGAATCAGTTAAAAACAAGTTTATTTTATTTTATTAAACAAATGTATGTGGCTGCTCAGCTCACACACTGATGACTCCAGGTGGCTTACAACCTTCCCTCTGTGCTCCTTTTCGTGCAATCTTTTTAAGAACCTTAGACGTTCATTTACATTTATAAGGCAATCAACATAGGTTTGGCTGCCTTTTGTTTTGTTTTGTTTTTGTTTTTGTTAAAGGGGCTGGTCTACAGTATTTGCTCTACTATTATCCTTGGAGACTATTTATCAGTAAAAGCAATTGTCTCAGTAAAAGTAAAAACCCTCCCAGCATATTAACCCTTCAGATAGTGGTGCATGCTTCTCTACAACTAATCTAAGTGCATTAAAAAGCAAAGGAAAATAAGGATACTGGAAACAAATCATCCACTTTAATCCAGAGATGGATTTCTTGAGTTATTCCAATATAGGCAACAATTTTATTGCACCCTCCACCAGTCCACTTCACTTTATTAAAGAAAGTGAGGGCTAATAATGGCCAAGGTCACAGTAGCCCTGATCTCCATCCCATGTTTTTTAATTCTACCTGAGCAATTTAGGAGAAGCAACCTGACCATAGAATAGAAACTTAGCCACCTCTCCGTCCACCCCCACACCATCCCCATCTCTATCAAACGTTGAATCCTTTTCTATTTCTATTGACTAGCTGCCAATCATTATGTTTCATACTTTTGTTGAGCGTGGCTCCCCAAGGAAACCTGATTTTTGTTTAACCTCTCCCCTTCTTTGGACTGTTGAGGTTGTTGGGGTTTTGTTGTTGTTGTTGTTGTAGTACTCCCTCCTGGTCTTCCCTTTTTCGTTTCTTAAAAAAAAAAAGGTCTGGTTTTTGAGGAGGGAAAAAATGTGAGCCCCAAAATGTCCTTTAACCCGCAGGATAAGCAAGGTTGATTTGAAGAGACAATAGTGCCAGCAAACATGCACATTTAGCTGACCTTTAGCTCCTACTATTTATTGATGTCGTTTACTTAAGCAAGACATTTAGCTTCATTGCCGTTCTGCAGCATCATTTAAAATACACCACACATTTGTATAGAAGCTCATTCTTCACTCAAAGTAAATGAAGACATCCCAATCTTTTTCTTTTATTGTTTTTCTGATATTGTGCTGAAGTGTTCAGCTAAATGCATAAAACTTGCTGATTTAAATAATAAATGTTCAAATAGTCTGCAGAGATTCTCAGTCATCCAGGTCATGGTTGTCCCAAAGGAGCTGAAGAAGCTTCTTGGAGGAGAAGCAAAACGTCTTCAAAGAAAAAAAACAAGAAAGTCCAGTTGCCTCCTGAGAAAGCACCTTTGGGACAAATGTGCAAATACCTGACTTTGATGAGAGTAGCACAGCTAGGCACTGTTAGACTAAAATCCAGCTGTCCCAAAGACTGTGTGTTTCTATTTTGTCTATAAATTCTTTTTTTAATCATTGCAGAACTGAAAGTATGACTACTTTTAAAGTATCTCCTGGCGGTAACCTTTTGAAATTGCTGCTATATAGGTGGGTCTTAAAGGTCCAACTTCCACCCAGCTCCAAAATAACCTTGTGTAATATCAGGAAATCAAAGAACCAACATCAAAGAAAATTGCTGAACTATGTGGTAGATAGAGCCATTGATTTTCCCTTCTTCCCAGTAAGAGGAATGGGAATGGGAAGGAAAAAAATCTCTAAAAAAATCTCCCAGAATTCACAGTAGCAGAATTCCAAATACAGCCTTATATTTAACAACTTTATTTATTTATTTAGTCCACCAAAGCCATGGCATTTCAACAATGGTGCATTGTGACTGGTCTGTTTTAAATTCTTCTGTGTATATATTTGTCTTGAGATTATATGTTTTAAAGCAGGGGTCCCCAACCCCTGGTCCGCAGACTGGTTCCGGTCCACTGCCCTTTGGGAACTAGTCCATGGAAGTGGCGGGCGTGTACGCAAAGCTTCATTCGCAGGAGCTAGGATAGGAAACCATCTCCCTTGCTGCCACCGCCACTGCTGCCAGTCCATGGAGCCAGTAAGGTTGGATACAGCTTTTTTTAAAGTCACTTAACCCTTGATGTATTCCAAGAGCATAAATATACAATCTGGAAAATTTGCTTGAGTTTTACAAGAGATTTCTAAACAGGAATTCAGTTTGCAAGTAATTTCTTTTACTATGCATGGACTCTTAAGTACACAGGACTGTCCTTATGAAAAGCAAAAGATGGTTATTGACAACTTTTAAAATACTCCAGACAAAGAAGGGTAAAACTGGTAAATATTTAAATCTCACAACCATTTCTTGATACCTTTTCAAAACAGAAAACAGTTCTGTTTTTATTTATTGTTTATGAGACTTACTTTAAATTTAAGAAACCCAGGTAATCAGATGTACAGATAAACCAGTGCATGACAGCAGACTTTGTAACTATATTCAAATATTTAAAAAGAACATACAGTATGTCATCAAAGCATCATATAAGCCAAAGAACCAACTGCACTTTTAGAAGTTGTTATTAATGGGCAGAGTCAATAGATACATACAGTATACTTACACCCCTTTAAAATCAGTGGGACTTAAAGTTATGCATATTTCCTGTAGTCCTCATTGACTGACCACAATTGGGACCAGGAATTTGGTCATTAAATGAAACCACAGTCCATGCTTACCATCACACCTCATTTTTCCTTTGCTTTACAAACTCAATAAGGTTATAAATGTGAAGATTGATTGTAAAGTTATTTTTCATCACCATCATAATTACAAACAATTGCTAAATGAGGCAATTGCTAAACAAGGACTACATTCTAGAGATAATAATTACTGTTTTTATGAACTAATTAATGGAAAATGTTTTTGTTGTCTTTTCCCTCCCCAGGATTCACGAAACGCTTCAAGCATCCTTACTGTGTCAAGCTCTTTACCCCAGCTAGATCAAGGCTGTCTTCCAGGGTTTTTGCCACTGAAGTCCGAATCAGATTATGATCTGCCTTTTACCTTGGCACATAATAGATCTCCAATTTCATCATCCTTTCCTTCAAACCTGCATGTCATGTCTGCCAAAAGAGCAATGCCAAATGGATGCTAGAATCTAGTCATTTTGTAAGCAGCCGAAAGAGAATTAATTAAAGTCCGATTTTATTAGGATGTTTTTAGCCTTTGAATTGAAGTTTGTTCTCTATGCATTTCTATGGCGTTAATTTTACATTCTTCATGGGAGGAAGGAGGGGGCCATGTTCACACATGCCACACATCCCATGGCTAGCATAGTAGAAGGGTCATTTTTTAAAAAAAACTTTCATTTACTGTGGTAGCTCATTTTTATGTAATATATTTTTAAATGTTAAGGAATGACACATTTGGGGTAATTTTCCTCAGACTTTAAAAAAAATCAATAAGCCATTTTATTCTCTATCTATCAAAGTTGTTTCATACTTGTCTATTTTAAAACAGGGCTGCAATACTTTAATAGGATTGAGAGAGCTATTTGAAATGTATGCCAATGATTCCTGTCATTTCATGGCAGTCCTGCCATGGTTCACTGAGCCCTCTCTTCTCTCTTGTCAGCTCAACTGAAGACAAGCATTTAGTTGCAAACTTTAAGCAGGTTGTGCAAAACAGAAATGATGTGACTGCTTCTCCTCCTGCACAATTATGTCACTCCTGGTCAATGTGAGAAGGTCAGGTTGCGCCTTGTAAAGCTACATGATACCACTTGCCCATTTGAACAAGTTAAGTGCAGAATCCGGTCCCTAACGGCCGCCTTTTTTTTATCAAGTCGGCATTTGATCAGGAAGTAGAAACAATGGTGTAGGGAGATTTGGAGAGGACGTGTTTATGTGCTTTAATAAAGGCAGTTCTCAAGCCAGCATCACACGTAATAAATTTAGTCCGAGTTTCAAGACTTTAAAGTAATGGCTGCTCTGACCTTCAAAATAAGCTCCTTTTCTTTGTTGTTGTTGTTGTTGGTAGGACCCAAGAGTGACGCCCATCTTTGATGCTGACAGAATTTAAAACAAGGCCATTGCCCTGCATTTTCTGCCTTGTAGCACACAAAAGTAAAATTGTATGTCAGGCCAAGATGTCGGGGAGCTGACAAGATGCCCCAGTGACATTTCAGCTGGAAAGAGCAAGTGTCTTGCAACCAAGTGGTCAAATATCAAATAATAGGTCAAGCAGGAAGGAGCTGAGTTCTAACCACAAAGAGGTTTCTGGTAACTTACTTGACAAGCTTTTGGGCGCTTTGTGGCTTGACAAAGTGATATTCTGTTGGGTATCGCTAGACAGTCTGTTCTTTATTGCCTTCAGAAGATCAGACATTGACATTGATTAAACTCTTTAACCCTTAAAGGTTAAATTCTGGTTGTATGCATCATTGTGAGGAAAGAACAAAAGAAATTTTGTAATATATACTATTTGTTATGGTATTAATCACCCCAACTCCCCAGCGCCATTAACATTTGATGTGTGATGTAGTTTTTGACAGGGTTATTGAATGCAAAATCTATACGTTAGATTGCTTCTCATTATAGATCAGAGATAACATTAGAAAAATAACATTGTGCTTGGTGGAATTTGTAATTTCTCATGCTTTGATAAGAGTAGGGTTTGATTCCGTAAACCTGACTGCTAACATTTGTCTTTGTCCTATCATCCCAGAAGACAATAAATTTGCATATGTAATATACCCACCACTATCAGTAAAATCATGTAAATTCCTGACTGGTAATTCCAAAGCCACTCTGTAGAACTTTGAAATTTTTCAAGTATTTCTTATTTTAAGATATCAAGAGGGTTTTCATGCCTGCAGTTGCAACTGTGTTCATTTAAAAAATGAGCAAATCGTTGTTGTTGTTTTTTAAAAAAGGTCTCTCTTCATAACATGTTATCTTTGGTCTATTTAAGGCAATATTTTTTTTTCCTTCTACCAAGAGAAAAACCAGAAAAAGTAACATGCGTTATTCCAATCAGAGGTTGCTTATCTTTTCCACATGGAATTTTAGCATGCTTTGTTTTGTGCTGTTTTTCATTTTTTTAATTATAGTATATAGTTAGGCTTTTTTAAAAAAGGAGGTATAAGATGGAAGTCTGATAAGATTTACTTATCAGCTATATAATAACTCACAGTTTGAGATTAAAATCAACATAATAATTTAAACATTATTGGTTTTGGAGAATTGGAACAGATCTGGTTTGCCTTTTTTTTTACAGAGCACTGGAAATGCATAAGGAGTGTATGGATAGATATACCTTTTACAAGCAATGAGTCTTAATATTTTTAACAGAGAGTTTACAAAGCAAAGTGATCACAGCTAATATTCTCTGGAAGTAGTTACAGCTACATCACAGAACAGACATGAGAGCAGTAATCTTAGATCTTTTTATCACAGCATTTCCCAAGGAAACATGTATACTCAAGAATAAAATTTGTTCCCATTGCTTTATTCCCTGCTGCTCGCAGCAATGCTTTCTTACCAAATTAGGATTTGCACAGTTCTGCTTATATTGCTATTTATACAAAATATATCTGTACTCATGAATTCATATATAAAATTCTCTCTCCCAATATTTTTTCCTCTTTTCTGATCTCAGCATTCTGATCAAAATTTAGGAGATGTGTGTGTGTGTATTTGTGTATAGATGTCAAGTTTATTAGCTCCACATTTAAAAATTAATTATTATAAATGCACCAAATGTAATAAAATCACAATTCTATCATCATTTTTTTTAATCCATGACATGCTTAGATGTTTATATAACCAGTGATGATATTCAGAACTTATCAACCCTGTGAATAGAAAACACACATTTATTAAACGAACTCACCATTAAATCTTACTACACACAGAATTATTCAGCCAGGTATAGGCATCAGGTCCACACAATCTGACACTTTGGTCAAAATAACAACACAAGTGTCCCAACAGCATGACACAAGCCCTACATCTTTACCACTATGATATTAGGAGCATGTGCAAAAGTGGCAGAGCCTACTTCATTTCACTTATGTTGTCCATTCCCTCACATGCATACTTCTCCCCATGCCTTCAGGATGAATAGGTAGGTAGGTATGTATGTATGTATGCATGTATGTATGTATGTATGTATGTATGTATGTATGTATGTATGTATGTATAGTTCTGTGCACTTAACAACTGTGGCAAGAAAGGCCATAAAACAGGGAAAAATTCACTTAATAAATGTCTCACAAAGCAACAGAAATTTTGAGCTCAATTGTGGTAGTAAGTCGAAGACTACCTGTACTTGATTGATCATACCAGTAAAGGTATATAAAACTGTACTGTACTCCTTCAAGAAGTTTAACATGTTTTTTTTTCATGCAGCTGTAACTTATATATAACGAAAGATTGCAGTACTTTTCATAAGATTGGGAAAATTCTTACACAGAAAAGATTTGCTAGCATTTCTTAACAGAAATTAGAATTGCAATTCCACATGTCATTGATTCATTTTTAAAATTGGTTCTTAACATGCACCACTAAAACTAACCCAGTTAAGTTTGAATAATAATTGAAATTGGATAAGTACCATATCCAATGTCTAAGCTCATTCTATGTCCAGTTTATCTGCCTACTAGAAAACAAGCAATGTTTTTGAAGCTTTCTCAACCACAGCGTCTATCAAATCGGTTAATATCATGGATCTATTTCATGTCAACTGACATGGCCCAATTGATATAATTGTAATAAGGTTATATTTACTAAAATTTTCAGAACATTTAGAAAACATTTTTTTAAAATGAGCATCCTTATTTTAGTTGACAATAACTTCTCCACACTTTTATTTAATTTTTAAGTTTGGGCAGTGGTGAAGTTCAATTTTTTTTTTACTACTGGTTGTGTGGGTGTGGCTTGGTGGGTGTGGCAGGGGAAGGATACTGAAAAATCTCCATTCCCACTCCATTCCAGGGGAAGGATACTGCAAAATGCCCATTCCCACCTCACTCTGGGGTCAGCCAGAGGTAGGACATTTGCCGGTTCTCTGAACTACTCAAAATTTTTGCTACCGGTTCTCCAGAACCTGTCAGAACGTGCTAGATTTCACTCCTGGGTTTGGGCTACATAAGATTTTAATCTAAGAGGTTTTGCATTTCAAATAGCTTCTTTCTTCTGAATGCACACAATCAAGAAACAATTATTGTATGTTCCAACATGGCTGTGTATAAGCACCATGTGAATTGTAAATTGGGAGGCCGATGAACGAAATTAATCAGAATGGAAGAGCATTTTAAGGAAGTAGATTTGACCATATTATATCTTAGCAATGCAGTAGGTTGGATTTAGCACAAAGTAGGCTTGAAATAAAGTAATTTTTATTCTGTTTCCAGGCTTAGTTTCAAAACTCGTCAAAGTTTTTACCATATTGCTAGCATACTTGTTTTCTAATCTACACTGTTTACTAGTGCTCCACATGCTTTTCAGAATAATAATACAATAATACAATAGCAGAGTTGGAAGGGACCTTGGAGATCTTCTAGTCCAACCCCCTGCCTAGGCAGGAAACCCCTGAGCCAAGGTGGCGCAGTGGTTAAATGCAGCACTGCAGGCTACTGCTAGATCAGCAGTTCAGCGGTTCAAATCTCACCGGCTCAGGGTTGACTCAGCCTTCCATCCTTCCGAGGTGGGTAAAATGAGGACCCAGATTGTTGGGGGCAATATGCTGACTCTCTGTAAACCGCTTAGAGAGGCCTGAAAGGCCTATGAAGCGGTATATAAGTCTACTGCTATTATTGCTATTACCCTATACTGTTTCAGACAAATGGCTATCCAACATCTTCTTAAAGACTTCCAGTGTGGGGCATTCACAACTTCTGGAGGCAAGCTGTTCCACTGATTAATTGTTCTAACTGTCAGGAAATTTAGAACAATCAGTTTCTTGCTAAAGGAAATGCATTTATTTTTGATACATGGCGCTGTTCTTGTACTGAATAAAGGGAGCCACGAAGAAATGCAAACTTTGTATTGGCATATTAGTTTGTGTGCCTCCAAAGAAACTTCTAAAGAAGCTACTAGGCTCCATATTTATACAGTATGCTCCTGGCTGATATAAGCTCCCACTCAACCCACTTCTAATGAGTTCTCAGTAGGCAAGTATAGGATTAGGCAATTAAAGTATTAGAAGAGCAT